AAGAAAGAGTGCATGACACTATCTTAATTTTTCCTAAAACAATTTTATAGAGTAATTTAATTATCAAACTATTGTATACTGTAATCTGAATCAGGATTTGATCCTTTATTGTGATCTAACGAATTTCTTTTTCCATCAAAATTTCCTAATGAATACCAGTTGTAGAATTGATTATGCTTTTAAGTATCCCACTGGTACAATGTTTACTTTATTTTGAAACTTCAGCATTTTTAACTTGATAGCTTTTTTTAGTTGGGAAGATCCAGAGTGCTTCTTGTCAATCGGGTTTCTGTTCTAGTTGACTATAAAATCAGACCCATTCTCTTCTATCTTATTAGGATAATGATAAGATACTAATCATTCATAACACCTATAGACCAGCCTGATTTGGTAAAGATTAGCTATAGATGACACTGTATTATAGTGAATATCTATTTCAGATATTAGTAAGATAGTTAGGACTACATCCAATGACAAATATTGATTTGTCATTCAATAGATTTTTTTATTGTATGTGGTATTTTTCATATGGCCTTCATGTGATATTGAACTTCAGACCTTGTGATTATAACCTGGAAGAACTATTATTATGCTATTGATCATAGGTCACTTTCTAACTTTCTAAAACTTTCTTGTTTTTAATAAAAGATATATATACTTAAATTTTTTGAGTTACTTGAAATTCAAGTTTTTATTTAAAAGAGTTTATAAATAAATAAAAAAGAATAATTATAATTTATAAAAATAAGCTTTAAATTATTTTAAGAAAAATATAAAAAATTTATTATTTAAAAGTATAAAAATTTCTAGTAAATATAATATCTTTTTGTTATAATTAAAGAATCAATATAAAAAGCTATATTATTTGAATTTTTTTTTTATATATCCATAGCCAGGTTATATTGTCAGTTTATTAATCTATTGAAAATATAAGTACATTTTTATTTGAGTAGCATAATACATACTATAGCTAAACGTTTATTATAATCTAACCAACTCATCATAAGTATAATATTCTCTAAGTTCGATCTTAGGAATAATATTTTACTCTATAATGTCTTTGGGTAAAGACTCTTCTAATTCACTATATCATTGCCAGCAGGTTGTCACTGCCGTATGTCTAACCAAGCTGTTAGAATACAGGAAACTACAAAAGGATGGTTTAAAAAAAAAGAGAAGGGTGATATCTAAAAATGTCTAAATAGACAACAAGAAAATGAAAAGATAAAAATTGGAAAAAAATATCGCCAACTTTCTTCAAAGACTTACTTCTCAAGACCTCTTCTCAATAAAAATTGACCGATTGGAATATCTTTTTTTTTTCTAACTATTTGAGGAACTTATCCATTCTGGATCTTTATTTTCTTCTCAAGTACTATCTGAAGAGACTTATCACCTAGTGGGAGCCTTTACTTCCAGGATACACTTGGTCCCAACCTTCTTTGGGCAGTAATTTTTTATCCGCCTGCAATAGAAATGCAACTTATGATGGATCCAAATTCTTATGTGACCTAGTATGAACTAAATCATGTTGTTTCAGTATGATATCTTCCAGAAGCCACACCTAGTTAAAGAAATTTTATTGATGCATATCTTCCATTGCCCAAAGTAGTCATTCCTCAAAGATTTTTTTGCTTCACAATGGTAGGAGGGTACCAGAAGAGCAGTGAGGATTCTCGTCGATTGTGATATCCTTCAATAACTTCTGGAGAAATGTATTTACAACTGTAATTAAAGAATTAAAGCTTAGTATGGATTAGAGACCATTTGATCTTATTGTTTGACTGGGATAAAAAATAGATCTTGGTTTTAAACTTTATCTAACCAGAATAATTGAAGAGAAAGATCTTAGCTTGAATAAATAATGGCTTTTTTATCATCTGAGGACTTGTTGCTTATATCTTATTGACCTCATGATACTTGATCTATAAATTAATCCAATTGGAGAAGTGAGATGGACACGGGACACCAATCAACTTTTTCTATTACCGATGATGTCATTAAAACACGTAAGATGATTAATAGGAGCTTATTTATATTCAGTTACTAATATGTTTCATGTCAATTAATCAGATGCCAGGTGACATTGTGCTACCAGAAATTTAGTGTCAAACTGAGATAGACAAAATCTTCCAAGAAAACCATGAAAAACAATAGATACTTTAAGAAGGTATAAGATAGTATATGAAAAAGTAAATAATAAGCCTTCTCCTATCAACAGAACCTCTATTTCTTGTCACTTCTAATTCTTTAAGATAATATTTCACTTGTCAGTCCTTTTACTTTCTAGAATCTTCTTGCCCTTAGTAGAGAAAATGTGTACTTGAGTCTTTTCAGGCCACTAGAGGCTCAAGTTTTTATTCAAAGAAGTTTATAAACAAGTAAAAGAAAGTAGAAGAGATACATGAAGATAAGTTTCAAGTTGATTTAATAAAAGTATAAAGACTTTATTAGCAAAGAAGTATAAAACTTTTTGCAAACATCTTTTTTATATATGGTTAGAGGATCAACAGAAAGAGTTTTGCTATATTATTTGAATTTTTATTATAAATTATATTATTATAATTATATATTATATATAATAAAACTTTAATTTTTTTTTAACCTTCTGTCTGACTAATTATGTATACTTATTAAACATTAATATACTATACATATAAAATATGTTTTTAAAGCTAAATTTTTAATTAGCCTATTTATTTTAATTATTATCACACTATGTATAACTTCAGAAGTGATTTATCATTTCATTAGTAGCTCAGATAAAACCCTTCAATTGCAAATTTTATTGCTTGTAGATTACTACTGCAAATTCTCTTTATGAGTTATAATAGAATTTAGGATCTTAATCATCTTATTTCATACTTTATTCCTTTTAGTAAGGTTTATTTTAAGCTTTTATCTTCTAGTTTTTCTTCTTTCAGTAAGAACCTTTTTATAATTGTAATCTTGTTATTCTTATTTGAAGGGTTAACTGATCTTTTATTCTGTCTTTTCTATAGATTCTTTGTACTTGTTTCCACTTGATCATTCTTAAGTATCTTTTTTTCAAATCTTTTTTTGAAATTGATTGCAAACTTTTATTGATATTTTTGTTATTTACTTTTAGACTTCTTTATCTATTCTTTTTAATAATATTTTAAATTTGATATTTTTAATATTTGATTACTTCGTATTAATCCCATATAGAAGTTTAATATATTTTGATCTGTTTTTATAGTCTCTTCTATAAGCTTAATTATATATTTATTCAATTCTTCTAATTCTATCCTGTCTTTAATCAGAAGTCTTCTTTTTTCTTTTTTCTTTTTTTTCTTCTACAATGTAAAAGTTTTTGAAAGTCTTTTAGAATATTTTTTGTTTTTAATAAAACTTTAATTTTAATATACTATATATAGTATTTTCTTTATAATTTTATCATAATTTTTTATAATTCTATTATTATTTAATTCTATTAATTACTAATAAATATAAGGATTTTATTATAATTTTATTTTTTAAAATTTTTAAAATTTAATTTTAGTATATATATAATTGTGATCAATAAATATTTATTTATATTTTAAAAATCAAATCAATTTGAAATAAATAAATATTTTTTAGAAAATTATAAAAAAGAAAACTTTAAAAATTATAAACAATTGAAAAGTAAAAAAGATAAAAATTTTATTATATAACTAAATATAAAAGTAAAAATAAAAAACTTTTTGTATTTACATAATTTTATATATTAGTAATCTTATAATTTAGTATAATATAAATAAAAACTTTGATAAATGATTTAAAAATAATTGAATTTAAATAGAATTTAAAAAACATAATAAAAAACTATAAACTGTTTATAATTATAATAAAAAGCCATAAACTGTTTATATATAATAAAAAAAAATAATTTGTAAAATATATATTTTATATTATTAACTTATTTAAAAAATTATAATAATAATAAATAAAATTTACTATATATTTTATTTAAATTTAAACTAAAGATAATATAATTATTAATCAATTCTTATTGAATGTATTTTTTAGATTTTTAATAGTTCAACTAAAATATCAGAAATAAAATAATTATATATAACATATAAATTGTAATACAATTCTCAAGACAAGATTTGAAATATTATTTGTATAAGCTTTTTACTTTTTAAAAAAAAATAAACTTTGATTATTAATTGACTATTATAAAGAGAAATTGGAGATTCAATCTAAAAAAAAAGAATTTACCATAATATTGAAAAAAAGCAAGACTTATAATATACTATTTAAAATAATTTGATTGTTAATACTAATATTACTATATCAGGAGTTAAAATAAAAAAAGTAGGATTAGGCTAAACAAACTGAAATCAAATTCAAAAATATGCATGTCTTTAATAATTTTACTTGCATTGAAAAATATTTTGCAATAAATTGTTTTCATATTTTAATACTTTTAATCAATTTAATATCAAATTATGAAGTTCTTCGGGATCAATGAAATAATGTCATTGAATTTAGTTACACAAACATTTTTGTGCCACCTTTTTTCTGAAAACATGAGCCAGCATGTTTTATGAAAATATATACTGTATATACATTGTAATATACGTATATGAATATATCAATTTTGTAATGTTGATTTTTAAAGTTGCAATTAACGAATAGTTATCTATCAATTGATGTAATAAAAGATAATCCAGAATTCGAAATTTCTCCTACTCGGTTTGAATGTTTGACCGCTCGAGTCTAAAATATCATGATAAACTATAATGGTGTTTAACACGAAAACACCATGAATAATGTATTTTATTTTCCACCGATAATAAATAATATATACAAATAAATAAAAATTATTAATGCCATAAAAATAAGGTGAATAAGAAAAGGGATCTTTCGGAAATATGGTGTAAAAAGTTTTTTTTGGGGGGGGGGGGGTAAAAAAAAAAAACATAAATAAATAGTTTCCTGGAATGCATCTTAGTGATAAGATAAAGTGTGGATTGAATGAATAATGGTTTTCATATTTTTGGTCCCTCCAATCGGTAGAAACTTGTCTCTTTGGATCCCTTTCTTGGCGAACACTTCCAGATCACATCCTTTCCACCCAACCCCCGTCCCAAGAACTGCACTTCCGCTCCCCTCACAACATTTTCCACGATTCTTCCGGTGCTAAAACTTCTCACTTCCACCATGCTCTTACCAAATCCCACCACGAAACTCTCATTTCGGGATCCGGCGGATCTCAAGAATTCCACGTGATTCGGCGGAAACGTCCACTCGAACACTATGGTGGAGAACACGCGACCTTGTACATCCACAATCATCGACTTTGAACCGAACGTGGCAAAAAATAGAGTCGGGCCCGTGGAATTCATCAAATCCGGATTTTCCGATTCAAAGATCGGCACCGGATTCAACATTTTAGAAGGATCCTCGTTTATTATTACGCTGTATGGTGGCGGTATTGTGAATGTGTCGGAAACCAATTCCGGATCTAATATCGGAATCCATGGTAATTGTTCAAACGTTTGCCACGACGGGGACTCGTGGATGAAAGAGGGGAGAGGTATCAACATTTTGCCATTGCTCGGACACAAATTGGAATCGATTGTTATCTCTCGGACCCGTGCATCCTCCACGCCTATCATGAACACCTCCGTATCAAATACGGCGATGATATCTAGTAGTTGGTCCTCGTACATAGACATCTGCAAGAATTTTGGAGTTTGGGGTAGCCAATATGTCCTGTTGTGAACAAATTCAGGTCCCCGGTTGACTTCACCAAAGTCCAGTTCAAACAGAAAAATATTTTGTCTCGACAGTATCGCCAAGTATGTCCTGGTTGGGCCGCTCCTTAGCGTAAATGAGATGGCCATCTTTGTTTTCGGTAACTTTTGATAATTCAGAGACCATTGAACTTGCAAATTTTCAAGTCTATCGCGAACTTCCGATGATGTAGAAGGTGCTAACGGATGTTGCAGACTTTCATAGCGTGCGTGTTGACGGTGATGTATGGTCGGTCCGTTATGGGAATTTGTTGAGGATGAGGATGAGGATAAAGGGGATGCAAAATTTTCATTATTCGTTGATGAGCTGTTGCTTCTGGTGTGTGACAGGGAGGGTAGGTTGGGTAAAGAATTATTGCAAATTTGACTCAAGTTAAGCGTATGGTGACGTCTCGACACAATGGCGTGCTCTTCCTCTTGATCACGAGTGGTCATATCCGGAATTGAGTCCATAGACCTCGACCGTCCGTGACCATGCAATCTCTTGTGGAATAAAGATGCGAATGATGTCATTTTGCTTTTTATCAACAACCGTATGCTAGTCAGATCATAAATTCTGATGTGATTATTCTTCCCAGCCAAAGTCAACAAACCTTCATATCGCTCATTTTGCAGAACCTTTATTTGCTTGAATCTCACGAATTCGATGAGTTTTCTGGGTACCTGTTGTTCAGGTGGAAGCGTCAGATCAATGAACTCCAAGTATGTGGTGCTGCCCAGTAGAAAGTAACGGTCGTCCAACAGATCACCACAAAGATATTTTTCCCTGGTGATAAATGTTTTCCCCAAGGTCTCAAGTTCGAAACGCGGACATTCCGCTGATGGATAATGAGAATAGGCAGGTGCTTGGATGTGTTGCTGATTCTCGGGCATGCCCTAGTAGAAAAGTTGAAAAGTGTGAGACAGTGTTGTGACAACAAACGAATCGAAGTGGGAAAAAGAAAATCACTTGAAGTTTACCGTTGAACCGACGCCAAGGTGGTCGGTGGTATAATCTATTTCTGCGAAAGGCGGAGGAGGATTTGAAGGTATCATCAGGATTTCCGGAGAGATCATCCAAATTGTCTTTAATTAATCGGTTGACAGAAAGTTCAATGAAAGTTCGGAAGTTCTTATTTAATTAACTCTCGTTAGAATTTGAGCAAAATTTATGTCAAAACAAAATGATGCAATGCTATATCATGTTAATGAATAAATGCGACAGGTTGCAGCGTCATCCAAGTTTTTGGACGAGGAAACAATAATGGATTGAATATCCTTATACGACGTTCGTTTTTTCAATGAGCTATTCGGGAAAAGGGCAAATCACTCGCAAGATAATTTTGCGAAACCAAACTCAATGCACTTCTATATTTATACTGGTGTGAGCAACTTTTAGTCCAATGGAATGGTGGTGATCAAACTTTAATATCACGCACACATGCGTGACCACACCATCGCATCACACTACAGTTTAGGCCATAAATAATGATAACGATAATTTCAATGTTCACCTGTGTGTGAACTTTTTGTCCACTAATGTACAGTAAGTATGGTTTTGCTCTAATCAAGGCAACACATACAAAGGTTCCTTATTCATAAAATCAATCCTGCTTCCGCATAATTATTTTGTGCACATGCGCATGTAGGTGCATACGTACAATACCCGGAACGCCTTGCGAAACATTGCACATTCCTTTCGCGTACTCACAAATCTTTTGTTTCTTGTAATTAATTCAGAATCTACATTGTTTCGAGTTAGCATCGGTGTGCATATATGGCAGATGCGCATCCGTTCTTCCCAATTCTCTTGACATAACATGACGCGTGCCTTGGCTGGTTTCCGAGGAAAAAATGTTTTCCTTGAGGCGATCGAGAATTCCAATTCCTTTTTCAGACACGTTTGGAAAAGATTTTCGGTCGGTCGCACGTCACTCTATGGTAAATTTTTCCTTTGTTTAATTGGTTTTTTTTTTTTTTTTTTTGCGGTTCTAGCAGTGGATTTTTTCGGCACAGACTTCCTATTTCGTATTGATATCTAAAAAAAAAAAATTTTTTATTTATATAAATTCTCGTATCACCAGCCAGATTTGATATGCAGTAAATTTAATACGTACGTATTAATTAATGGCTTATGGCGATCTTGGTTTCTGCAACCAATGTTTCCCGCTCGGGACTTATTGTCATTCGTTGGCTTCACTGACCAGTGACGGCTCGATGTTGAAGAGCGTGACATCAATAAACGGCGATGCGGTGATCATGTGACGATAAGATATAATGTCAGCGGCGAATATCGGAAGAGTCTTTACAACTTACGAAGCCGGACTCGGCGCATACCCGATAAAAATAAATTGCCGGGCCGACCCGGTATCTTTCTTTTTTTATCAAACGTGTACAGTGGATCATCAGTAATTTATCGGTCGGACCGTTTACGCTTTTTATGGAACGACATATGAAGACCCATGCATTTCAGATCAACCTATCTTATATTTATGTATACGTACTGTAGATTGATAAAATCGTGGAAATACAGTATTTCATATCAAATGAACCTATTTATATGGACAACCCATCAATTCCCGTTGATCGATTAAAGCTTGGGGGGTCATGCGGTAATCAATGGGTGATGCATCTTGGAACAGTTAAAATCTTTCTTTGCTTACAAAAGTACAGCGGCATCATTTTTGCTAGAATCATTGGTCCTTCTCATCCACTAGGAATCTTTCTTACGCAATCTGCGCTGCCGTAACTTTACGATCATTTGCAGCGTAGTGTATTGTATTAATCATTCGAATAAATTCCCAAAGATCACTCACACGTGAAATCTAAAGATTGATCATGATGAAAAAATTATCAAATTACGTATGGCATGAATCATCCGTGGATAACTTCACGTATGGACGAGTGGTCTTGTTCCTCCGAAAATGAACTTTCATTCCTCGATGCTCAAGCGTATAAAAAGACATAAATACATGGGTCCTTAAGTAAGATCCAAAAATGCCATGAAGTTAAACGGCACCGGTGTTTCGTAATCTGCATCAAATACTAACGCATGCGCAAATGGGAAATAATGTGAGTGTAACCGCGAACTCTTGGAAGTCGAAGTTTGGTGACAGAAACAGGGATGATGATGAAAAACGAAAAGTAAGGATTCGCATTTTCGGATTATGCAATAGTATTTATTTTGACGCACTTCACTGTACGGTGCCTCACCCTTCTTGCACGTAATTGCCTTTCGCATTAAGGTTATCACAATGAATCAACGAGAGGAATCTTTTCAATCGAAAAAGTTGCCCAAGTGCTACCGTCAAGATTATGCTTTCGATCGTCGAAAATTTCAAAGATGGTATTCGTCACGTCAAAATTTTTAATTTTTTTCGCTCACCATTTCACTATCCTTTCTTTCTCTTCCCAAGTGGGCTGTCTGACACCACATACGTGACTTTTGCGCGCCGGCCAAAATCAGCGGACTTTACAAAAATGGTAGTCAGGGTCACTTCGCTGGGTGAACGACATGCGGACGAAGGTACAATCAACTGGAACGACGAGTGTATAAAGAACGAAGCAAGGATGTTGTCTTGCCTTAATCATGTAATTAAACAGTCATTAATTTTCTGCCATTTCCCATACCACCTCTGTTGTCACTCCACCTCTTCTAACCATTCGTTTCTACCTTAGCCAAATATAGCTAATCTGGTGGGATGGTTCATAATGCGAAATGCATTCTACTCGATCCTGAATTATTACGAAGGAGGAAACTTGATAGACTGTATTCCGCCCAACGGAAGAGATGAATTTTCCGCTTTGCATCTAATGATTCAGGTTTTCGACGCGATCAAATATACGCATGAACACGGCATCGCGCATGGAAATATCAAGGTATGCTGCGCGCGTACTCACTGCAAACACATTCCTCACGTGTGAATAAGAAAGCGAATTTCTCAATTCAGCCCGAGAATATACTCCTGTCGGTCGATCATAAACGTTTGATCCTTACCGATTTCGGTCAAGCCCACTTTGAAGACGTTGACCTTTGTGCTCGAGATGGAATTGGAATTCGAATTCACGGAGGAACGGTATGCGAAAAGAAGAAATTAGCGTGCCCCGTATGGCAATGATGTGATGGAATGATTTTAAACACGTCTTGCGCGCCCGGATCTTCACAATAGATTGGGTTCAACGGACCGGAACGGGACCCCCGAGAAAACATACCGTTTAAAGGGTTCAAGAGAGCCGATATGTATGGCTTGGGTGTTACAGTTTATGTCGTGTAGGTGGATGGAATCTGAAAATTTACGTCTTTATACAGAATATTCGTTTATACAATGTATCATTTTCTCACTCGTTTTAGTCTGACGCGTCACCTACCGTATGACACATCATTATCAATTCGAGATCAAGCTCTGTTCTTCCCCGAGAAGATATCCTTACCGGGTAAACACGTATCTAGAATGTGATCTTTCTTGCGCATGCATTCTTTCCTCTCGATTATTGGCGAAGAGGGAATGTAACACGCGCGCGCGTAATAGAGACTAATTTATTTTCTCTCATGCGCATGAGCAGCACAACATTTCATTCAGAACCTACTCTCCATAGATCCATCACGTAGAATGACCATCGCTGGTGTTTTTGACCATTCTTGGTTAAGAATTCATGACGTCACTGGTCCTAGAGCGAGATCTGTCACTCCCGTTCACAATACAACTTCCTTGAAACCGTGTCGACATATCAGCAATGGCGCCAATCACAAGGGGAAAAGTATAGCTGAGAGTAGTAAGTCAACCGCTGCTGCCAAGCGAAACCGTGGAAGTGTACGAAAAAACAAATCTTTCGCAAGCCTATTTAATGTTGCATCTCCGTTGATTAAAGAAAAAAACAATAACCCTTCTCTTCCACAATAAATAAAGGAAACTTGACGCGTGCATGAAGGAAATCAGCAAGTTTATTATATTATCATGACCATTCACTCTCGGCTAATGTTGAGCAATAAAATTTGGACAGACGAAGGATGCGATACATAGATTAATCCTGACCTTATACATTAATAAAAAAATAAAAAAATGTAATACTGTAATAATAATATCAGTTCTCTAAAGTCCATTTATCTTTACATCGAGGACGAATTTGAAGATCCAAATGGATTGATCAATGATCTCCTCGATCTTCGATCGAAACTGCCAACTATCGTACTTCCACCCGTAATACTGAATCGGGATGAGGTTCGCCTCTATTTAAAGTAGTTCAGAAAGAGTCAATGATGATGATCTCATGGTGACGCAGAGATTTTTTATTGATTTTACCTTTACTAGGAATTCTTTCTCATCAAGAATACACTTGGCAACGTACAAAGCCAGGGTCATTGTTGTTATCTTGAATGCAAAAGATTATTTCATGGTTTTTTTATGGGTGGGTCTCAAGTTTCTTCTCTCGATAATAAAATAGCCTCTCTTACCATAGGATCAACTCCGATTGCCGTAGGAAACACGCTGGAATCAACAACGTAAAGATTCTTGACCTCCCAAGTTTCTCCCGTTGGCTTCACCACTGATTTCGACGGATCATCTCCCATCCGACTGCGATTTTTTTTTTTTCAGCAGAATCACGTTACCATTGCCATTAATGTTAAATCGAAATACAGAAAGCGCAAGACATCATGTACCAAGTTCCCATTTGATGTATACTTCCAATACTCGCTTGTTCGGGCACTCCAGTCTTCCTGATTTTCTCGAGATACGATTCAAACTTGGGATCATTTAACGGACTCTCGTCAGAGACTTCGAATTCCTCCACTCCGGCCAAACATGTCCCGACTCTAGACGCTCCGGCCGCCACAAGAATCTTGAGACCTGTGGTGATTCCAACGATAACACTCTTGGCATCATTGGTGCTTAACTTATACTCCAATTTTGGCATTCCGCGGGAATCAATTTTAACTTGCCCTGCATCTTTATCTCGAGTTATGGAAAGAAGGGGTGCGATATGATTGTATTGGAGCATCAGCTGTTTGTGTTGTAATGAGGATCTCCACGGGAAGGTGGTAGGGATTGTCGCCGGATGATGAGATCCTACCACGATCCTGCTTCCATAGTGGTCGCCGTCAACATTTTCCTCGGCATCGCATACCTACAACCAATCAACCAACCAATTAATTGTAACATTCTGGTCACGTGCCACGTTGAGCATTCATTGAACCTACCGCAGTCATGATGGTTCCCGCATAAGTTTTAATTTCCTTCTTGGGGAAAACGCCATAAACCCCGGCGGTGGGATGAATGTGCAAATTCTTCCCAATGTTTTTATTCTTCAAGCCACTTCGTAGAAGCAAAGCTGGACTGTGAACAGCTCCGCAGGCGACGATAACCTTCTTGGCCATCACCTTAAACCGACGGGATCCATTGGCGATCGCCTCAACACCAATGACTTGACCATCTTCGGTCAATACCTTTTCTACAAAACAGTCTTGAATGAAATTAACGCCAAAGTCTTTCGCGTCTTTCAGATACGTCATCACGGCCCCTTGTTTCTCTCCATATTTACACCCGAAACCGCACCAACCACACGGGTGAGGTTTGGACGCGGAATTCTGTGGAATGACATTGACCGACGCTCCGATCTTCTTACACCCGTTTACGAGAATTTGATTGCTTTCGTTATGAGTGATGTTATTTTCATTGACACCCAACCTGTTCTTGACTGTTTTAAGTGTATTGTTGAAGTCCTCTTCCAAGAAATTCACCAAACCAAATTTCCTGGCCCATTCTTCACGAACGTGATGATGTGGCTATTTTTGCGGGATGATGAACGCACGTGAGCATGAGGATAGCACTCTTTGCAACACTCATAACATTTCATACCTCCACGGCAGCACACCAACCAACGGTGGTGCCTCCGCCAAAATTGGACCCAGCTAAAACTGTTGTATTACTGTCCTCGCAAAATATTCCACCTCCATTTTCATACAGCTTCTTGTATCCGTCCTGTTGATCCAAGGTGAGTTTTTCCTGCGCACAGTGACGACCTTTTTCGATCACCACCACAGAATTACCCGTCATTCTCGCCATGCGCGCGGCAATGACACTTCCTCCTGCTCCCGAGCCAATTATCAATATATCATAATTTAATTCAGTTGTCTCGTTCGTGATTTCAACGAATTCGTATTCGGGAAAAGTGCGCTCTCGGTATCTTGGACCAACCGCCTCTGGATCCGGTCCAGGATATCCAATTAACGGATAAAGGTCATGAGCATCTGACCAAAATAATGTACAAACTAAATGAGAAAGAATCCTAAAAATCCGTCTATTGTTTGCCGATGGACTCGTGCTCCATTTGGAAACGATTGCCTCCCGTTGTTTCTGATCAAGTTCAAAGAACGCCTTTGTCGAGCCCGTTAATCCATAACCGGAAACACCTCGACTACTAAGGCGTTTAAGAAGCAACTTGATCTCAGCCAGTTGACGTGATGTTACTGACTGGGATAGTCGACTTATTATGCGATCAAAAAACTCATCACTCCTGGATACGTCAAGTTTACCGAATTCTCGAATTTTCTCGTCTTTTTTCCCGGAGGTCATGACTTCGGCTTGACAAAGTTGATCAAGCTCCGTCTCATCCAATTCGCCTATAAAAGTACTACAAATCGCCCTTAACGCCTTAGCTTGTTTATAATTAAGCTGCAATTGATCGCCGCTAGTGGGTTCGGTGGTTTCATCGGTTTTGACGTCACTGGTTCGACTGGTCCGAGAGTGGATGGAGTTACGTTCGTCAGTCATTACGCATTTATCAATATTTTTTTTAATTAAGGGTTCGGAACAAAAAATTGCAAGAAGAGAAGTCGACAGTTCAAAACCGGGGGTTTATTTAAAAAAAGAATTGACAATAAGGGTATTAAAGAACAAAAAGTTTGATTCTACGAAAATAAATAAGTGAATTTAATGATTTTTTTCTTGCCGATCTTTAGCGTTAAAATTGGATAAACCGGTAAAAGCAGCTTTAAAGGTTCTTTTAAGAGGGGCAGGTTGTGTACGCAATCCAAAACCGGCCAAAGATACATGAAAAGCATATTCATTTTGTCCTGAAACCAGTCCTCATAGGTGATGGGACGCGTTGATCAAATGATTTGATGTTCATTCTCTACATACACAAGTATGATATATGAGTCGAATTTGCACGTGCATTAAATCAACAAGATGTTCTCGTCCCACTTTGCTTCTTACGTTAGCGAACCACTCGACAATACCAAACACCTTAAAAAATTTTAAATGAGGCGGTGAAACTGTGTGAGTTGGTTGGTCGTTCCCAGTATTAAATTAAGTAAGTTGTTAAACAATCTCTTTTGTTTCGTTAAAGTCAATCACTTGTGAGCCACTGCCAATGCCATTATAACCTGTCACGTCAATACGATTTGTGTATCATTATCATCTTTGAAAATCTGATCTATCATAAACATCGACAAGGATGCGACAATTTTTTTTTTTTTTTTAAAAAGGAAAAGAAAATTCAAGCATACATACAGTGTACTGTATTTTCTCAACCTTTCCACTTTCAGCATTCAAATATTTCTTATTAAAGCGCAATCAAAGGTGATAAATAAATAAACCACGCCTATCTTTCATACATCATCTACCAGGGCTCTTTGAAAAATTCCATTAACCCGAGATAAGCATTGATTTAACCATAAATTAAAAGGTCATGTTTTTCATGGCAAATTTAATTATACAGACAATACATAACGGTATATGGCGGTATATATTGTGTACGCAAATAAATACAGCGAAACGAACAATTTTAGAGTTTCATGATGTACGGTATGCCCTTTTTTTTATCGCATTTATCATTTTTTTTATCATACATGGAAATTTTTTTTTTTTTTTTTTTTTTGAAATTTTTAATATTAAATAGATAGATTTAGTTGGATTCAAAACCCAACTGTCATAACATATTGATATTAAACTTTCGAATTAAAATTATGAGTTAAGAAAATCCTACTGTAACTCGTTATCACTTTAAATTAGGAATCATTATTTCATTAAGATAAAGTTAATATGTATTCACCTATTTTTTATCGTAAAGTTTTTTCAATCGTATTTCTACATTTTATGGTTTATGCAAACCATATATACAGTAAATTAATATATAAACGGTGGTATAAAAAAAAATCGAAATTTTTTTTAAAATTATTATTCTTATTTCAATTAGAAATTTATTTACTTGAAAATATTATATTTTTTTAATTTTATATATTAAAGTAATATATAGTAGAAATCATATTTTGAGAGAAGGTTATTAAATAGATAAAAAATTTTTTGAAAGAGCTTTGAATTGTTTTCTTTTTTTTTTCTTTTCAAGTTACTTTAGCAATTTATTGGAATAATCAACAGTAACAAACTGTTGACAATAATTTTAGTAGTTAAAATCAAATATTAAATTATTAAGAATTAATGGAAATTTCATATTTTTCAAATAATATAATCTATATATATGATATAATTAAATTTTAAAAACTTTAAAAAGTAGAATTATAATAAAATTATTATATTCTTAATAATAATTGATGAAATCAATTAATATTAAAATTAAAATAGAATTATTATACATATTAAAATTAACAATTCTATAATATTTATAATTCTTTAACTAATATTACACAGAATAAGTTAGTTATAATATATTTTTTAAGAAATATGAAATTGATCTATTTTATTAAACTTGACATAATACATATTATTTAAATAAACAATATTTTGTATACTTTTTTTCTATATATCTATTTCCATACTATTTATAATAAAACAATTGAAAAAGTGTTTCTTTATCTTTGTAACAAGTCATTCTTTTGAGAGAACTAATATATCTAAATATCATTAATATATTTAGATAAAATATAAAAAAGTTTATATTTATTTATAAGGATTTCTGCTATAGTATTAAAATTATATATAATAAATTTATACTATAATCTAATTAGATTTTTATTGTTTTTTTATTGTTTTATTTTTTTTTTGGTCTATAGTTATTATTTTATTATTTTTTTTAAATTTTAAAACATTGATATTTGTTAATCCAAATATTATAAATGATAAATCAAAATTCTCAGATAATTTTTTATTGTATCATATATTATATTAACATTGATATAAGTGCCAATAATTTTGATTATAATTTAATTATTTTTCCTCTAATATCATATTCTAGATTTATATTTTATTCAAATAAATTATAAACTTGCATTTAATATTATAGTATTGTTTATTATCTATCCTTACAATTATTTTTTTGTATATTGTTATAAGGATTATATTATTAATATTAATATTATAAAAGATATATCTGAAGAAATCCAGATTATTTTTTTATTGTATGCAAAACATATATTATTTTTATAATTTTGGAAATTTCTAATATTAAATTTATTTATAAAATAAAGTTTTTTTATTTTACAGCTTAGCTATAAATAATTAAAATTATTTGTGATATTATTTATTATATTAATTAAAGTAGTTCAGATATTAATATTTTTTTAATTAATTTATTTTTTTTTTTAAACCGCAACTGATATTAAATACGAGCTGTTTATTGATAATTAAATCTTAAGCGTTACATCAATTATCTCATACATATACATACAAATTAATGATAACCTATCACAGCTTGTCCTAGGCAGACCTACTTGAAACCCCCCTGTAGGTGGGCATGCTTGACTAGGGGCCGGATGCTTGATAACATTCATCAATGGCAATATTGATATAATTAGCTAATTCTGTTATTAAGGGACTATACTGCTATGCTAACTTATACACTAGTGTCAAATCCTCAAGGGTTAATTTTAACTACCCAGATATCCTGATACTTTTCACTTGGACCTTAGAAGGAATTTCAATTTTCTTTGTCACCACCTGTGGCATTACAGACAAGTCCTGTTCGACATGTCCTTCATTTAAGTAAGCACCAGATTGGAATATTCCAAGTTAGGGTAGTCAGATTCCAGAGTCTACTAGTATAGTTTGGAATAGGGAATGTTTAGACGATTGCCGCAGTCCTAAAAGCGGAGTCCCAGAGTCTGCTGGTACAGTTTAGGGTTAGTATTATGTTCAGATGATTACCGCAGTTCTAAAAGCGGGGTTCTGGAATTTGTTTCCTGTCCAGTTTAGGAGAGGTTAGATTAGATGTAGTTCATGTAATCAGACCAAAAATCTTTCTTCATGCAATCCTCACAGTAGATCCTTTTCAGCCTGGCGATCAACAGGAAGGCCAGAAGTCCCATTCTCATGCAACCTAATTATTTTTTCTCACATGGCTCTTGTATGGTATTGAACTTTGGACCTTGTGATTGCGACCTGGGAACACTATCACTGTGCTATAGATCTACAGGTCATATTTTTTTAATTTATTTTTTATATTATTATCTAATAAGTTTATTATATTTAAATAATTATATTTATTTATATATAAGTTTGACTTGTCTAATAATTTAATAGACAACTCTTTCCACTGATCCTCTGATCACACACAAAAAAGATGTTCACAAGAAGTTTTCATACTTCTATATTAATAAAGTCTTAACACTTTCCTTAAACCAACTTGAAGAAACTTCAAGA